ATATCTATATAGTGATGGCCTGTCCCTCACCACTTGACTGACAGGGCCAGCATCTGAAGGGGGTCCTCCTGTTTCTAAAGCCTATACTTTCCATGGTTTGCTCTCTGATGTATTTCCTATTGAAAGACTGCCTGTGGTTCTATATGTTACAAAGCAGCAGTAATTGAATCTTTAGTATCTCTTTAACTCATGTTAGCATGTAGCCTTTCTCTGGTGCATATCCTTTCTCTCTTCTTTAAATAGACCACAAAAATTCCATTAACAGCAATCTCTACAATGATGGCCATATGATGGTTAGTACTTCTGAATTGCTTAGTAAGGTAGACTTGTGAAGCCACCATATATTGGTAAGCTTATTCTAACTTATACCTGGAAAACTGTCCCTTCCCTACTCTCAGCCTATTGCTTGTAAGGAGATCGGGAGTGATTACTATCTTCATGGAAAAAAATCCAAAGAGTCAATGATATGCAAGACTTTTGTTGGGATTTCTGAGAAAAAGGCAGACACTTTTTTATTCTTTGCTGAGAGAATATGAAAAACAGCTGCTGCCATCTTTTTTTTTTTTTTGATTTTTTTAATTCTTATGTTAATCCCCGTACATTACATCATTAGTTTTAGATGAAGTGTTCCATGATTCATTGTTTGTGCATAACACCCAGTGCTCCATGCAGAATGTGCCCTCCTCAATACCCACCACCAGGCTAACCCATCCTCCCACCCCCCTCCCCTCTAGAACCCTCAGTTTGTTTTTCAGAGTCCATCGTCTCTCATGGTTCGTCTACCCCTCCGATTTCCCCTGCTTCATTCTTCCCCTCCTGCTACCTTCTTCTTCTTCTTTTTTTTTCTTAACATATATTGCATTATTTGTTTCAGAGGTACAGATCTGAGATTCAACAGTCTTGCACAATTCACGGTGCGTACCAGAGCACATACCCTCCCCAGTGTCTATCACCCAGTCACCCCATCCCTCCCACCCCACCTCCCACTCCAGCAACCCTCAGTTTGTTTCCTACAATTAAGAATTCCTCATATCAGTGAGATCATATGATACATGTCTTTCTCTGTTTGACTTATTTCACTCAACATAATACCCTCCAGTTCCATCCACATCGTTGCAAATGGCAAGATCTCAGCTGCTGCCATCTTATAATCATAAAGGTAAGAACCTTAATATGAAGCTAAATAGAAGACTATGAACCTAAGGAACAACAAGAGAAAAATAGTTGCTAATAAGTTCTTCATAAAACTACACATAGACTTTTCAGTTATATGAATTAAAAATTGCTATGTTACTTCGGCCATCTTGTTTGGTCTTTTTTTTTTTTTTCTCAGAGTCCTAATTAATACATAGATCACATGCCATTAGTTGTGCTACACACTTTATAAACATTATATCATATAGTCCTCACTGTAATTCTGTGAGGCAGTTATCACCATTTTATAGATGCAGAAGATGAAGAACAGAGAGATTAAGAAATTTATCCAAAATCACATTGTTCATTGAGGAGCAGATGCAGAATTTGAACCCCAACCCTATTCTAAATCCTATAGTTAATTACGTACCGTATTACTCCATCTGTCTTGACCGGAATTTGGCTACACATTAGAATTTCCACTGTAATATCTGGCTTGAATTTGCCTCCAAACTCTGTCTCATTCTAGTCCATCTCATTGTCGTGTCCACAGAATAGTTTAAAAGTACAGCCTTTATATTTCTATCTATATCTATGTAGAGAGACTGAAGAATTTCCATCTTACAGAAAAGAATCTCATTAATAAGAGTCCTTGCTGTTCAAGAGGCAATTAGGATATTCTCCATAGACTCATCCAATCCCCGGTCCACATCTTATTCAGTGAAACATATGGAAACCTAGCTTAATTAAATTAATACAATAAAATTAGTACTTAAGAATTCAGAATGTGTCCAGGTTAGCACCAGGTATATTACTTAGGTGATCTTTAGATGTTTTTCTGTTAGAAAACCTGATATAACACCTGTGTGCTTGGAAATGCTGAGTGTGCACTTAAAACTTACCCATGATCTGCTTCAATGTTTGTGTAACACAAAGTCCCCAAATATATACATATATATTTGAGTATATGTATAAACATATATTTAAGGGTATTTTTTAAATTCTTAAGAATCATCAACTATAAAAATAGATCTAACTATATTGAGTCATTTGGAGAATAATTTTTAAGTTGGCTCTGATAATTTGATCTGGCTAATAGTCTAGTGAGTTGCACATATAAAAGATGGGAGAATAAATGTGCAATAATGTTAGCTGATATATATACATGTGTATATATATGTGTACATATATAATATTATATATATTACATGCATGAGTCTGTGTGTGTGTATTTCATTCTCAAAGATACCTCAGAATATGTCCTACTTTAGTTAAGTGTTATAGAAATGCCATGCAACTTTGTGTTCTTTCCTAAATCTGATTTACAAAAAAGTAAAGTTCTCCATCAGGAATCCCAATTTTTGTTATCAGTTTTAAAAGGTGAATTAAAAAAATCACAAACATTGCATATTATAATTTTTTAGTAGGAGTAAATTAAGAAGTTTTTTTTAAAAATAAAAAGTATATTTTGGACTTCTAGTTTCTGGTTCAACTTGTTAAAGAGCTTGAAAATCACCACTTTATCCTAATGATAAGGAAAAAAACATAACACATAGAAAAATTAACAGTTCTTCTTAGATCCATCAGAGAAGTGAGGTCACAGGAAAAATTTATTTCCCCAAAATTAGAGAGACAGATAGGTAGATAAAGAATCACAACTTACTGGCGTAGAAACCCACTGGCAGTAACTTCCACAGGAACCAATGCAGAGCAGGAAAATCTGAACTGTAATTGATGAGTTACTGGAAGTTCAGTGTGGACAACTATGCAAGTTAAAAACACCAGGGGATCCAGCGATAGGGGGCCCTCATACTTTTGTGAGTTTTACCACCAGGATCTCTTCCAGGTCTTCATAGTATATATTGAAGAAAAATTCCCTGATGCTTCCCGCAGTGGGAGGAGAAAAGGAACCATCTGACATATGCCAGAGCATCCTATATTTCTGGATAAGGCCTGCTGTCAAGATACACTGTTTTACCAGAGCCTAACCTAACTGGAGGAAGAGAAATACCCAACTCCAACAACCTCTAATCCTCCCAAGTGCAGGAGGGGAAATACATAAATCTAGCCCCCTCTAGCCATCTTTTCCTATGTAATGGGAGTGAGAGGAAACTGAGAAGGACCAATAAAGTTCACAGAACCAGGGACAAGAGCTCCCCCAAACTCTTAGACCTACTTATAGGACTATAGCATGCTATTTCTTCCCCCATCCCTTACCACTTTATTACTCAATGCCTATTTAGTGCAGTATATCATGGTTGCCTTTTAACAAAAAATTAGAAGGCATACTAAAAGGAAGAAACACACTTTGAAGACAACTGAACACACATCAGAACCAGAGTTAGATATGGCAGAAATGTTGCAATTATCAGAATGAGAATTTTTTAAAAATTATGATTAATATGCTCATAGATTTAAAGGGAAAAGCACACAACATGCAAGAACACATGGGAAATGTAACCATAGAGATGGAAATTCTGAGAAAGATTCAAAAAGAAAAGCTAGAGATCTAAAACACTGTACCAGAAATGAATGCCTTTGATGAACTGTGGGACAACTACAAAAAGTAAAACATACACATAATTGGAATACCAGGAGAAGAAAGAAAGGAACAGAAGCAATATTCAAAGTGATAATGACTGGTAATTTCTTCAAATTAATGTCAGATAACAAACCACAGATCCAGGATTCTCAGAAAGCATTAAGCATCAAAAAATGAAGAAGTAAAGAACGAAAAAAGAAAAAAAAAAAACACCCTCATACACCCTATACCTAAGCAAATCATTCAAACTTCAGAAAAGCAAAGATTAGAAAAAAAAATGAAAGACACTAGAAGGGGGGAAAAACACCTATAGAGACATAAAGAATTACATCTGACTTCTCTTCAGAAACCATGCAAGTAAGAAGAGAGTGAAATGAAACATAAGTGATGAGAGATAAAACCCACCAACCCAGCATTCTGTACCATGTGAAATTATGCTTCAAAGTAAAGGAGAAATAAAAATTTTCTCAAAATAAAAAAAAGGATCTATCTTGTGAGAAATGTTAAAATAAGCTCTTTAGAGAGAAGAAATATGACATAGGTCAGAAACTTGGAACTACATAAAGAAAGGAAGAGCATTTGAAAAAGAATAAGTGAAGGTAAAATAAAAAAACATTTACCTTTCTTATTCTTAATCTATCAGATAACAGATTGTTCAAAATAATAATAGCAATGAAGTATTTGAAGTATTCGATTATGAAGTATTTGATTGTTCAAAATAATAATAGCAATGAAATATTTGAATAATAGCAATGAAGTATTCTAATGTATAAGTATTCTTATGTATAAATGAAATGAATTGAATAATGGCAATGATACAAGGGATGAGAGGAAGGAATTGGAAATATTTTTTGTTGTAAGGTACTCTTACTACACATGAAGTGGTATAGTGTTATTTGAAAGTGAGCTTAGATTAGTTGCAAATATATATGGCAAACTCTAGGGCAACCACCAAAAAACAGTACAAAAAGTATAATTGATATGTTGGGAAAGGAGAGAAAATGGAATCATATAAATGTTTGATTAAAACCATGAACGACAGAGAAAGTGTGGAAGACAAAAATGGGGACAAAGAACAAAGGCAACAAATACAAAACAGTAATAAATATGGTAGGTATTAATTCAATAATTGTAATAATCACCTTAAATATCAATGAACTAAATACAATAATATTCAGAGTGTATCCAAAAACAAGACCCAATTATATGTTATTTGCAAGAAACCCATTTTAAATATTGACACATATGGATTAGAGATAAAGGGATAGAGACATGCTAACACTAATCAAAAGAAAGCAGGGCTTTGGGACCTGCAGTCTTTGGTGCAGACATGGCCAAGTCCAAGAACCACACCATGCACAACCAGTCATGAAAATGGCACAGAAATGGCATCAAGAAACCCCAGTCACAAAGATACAAATCTCTTAAGGGGGTAGACCCCAAGTCCTTGAGGAACATGCGCTTTGCCAAGAAGCACAACAAGAAGGGCCTAAAGAAGATGCAGGCCAACAACACCAAGGCCATGAGTGTATGTGCCGAAGCTATCAAGGCCCTTGTCAAGCCCAAGGAGGTCAAGCTGCAAGCTCATTCGACTTGCCTACATCTCTCACCCCAAGCTTGGGAAACGTGCTCGTGCCTGCATTGCCAAGGGTCTCAGGCTCTGCTGGGCACAGTCCAAGGCCAAGGCTCAAACCAAGGCTCAGACTGCGGCTCCAGCTCCGGCTCCGGCTCCGGCTCCAGCTCCTGTTCCTGCTGCAGCTCAAGCTCCCAAAGGTGCCCAGGCCCCCACAAAGGCTCCAGTGTGGAGGCTTGTGTCTGCCAGTGTGAGGACAGAAGGACTGGTGTGACCCCTGGGCTTCTATCTGTATGGGACTGGTATCTTCCTTTGCTTTTTGTACAAATAAACCTGCGGCAGGCTCTGTCAAAAAAAAAAAAGAAAGAAAGAAAGAAAGAAAGCAGGAGTACCTATATTAATTTCAGATAGAGCAGACTTCAGAGCAAGGCAAATTACCTGGGATAAAGAGGGGCATTATATAGGATAAAGAAGTCAATAATCCGTACTGCATGGAGCACTGGTTGTTTTACACAAACAATGAATCATGGAACACTACATCAAAAACTAATGATGTAATGTATGGTGATTAATATAACATAATAATAAGAAAAACAAAAACAAAAACAAACCAAAACAAATAAACAAAAAATTCCTTAATGTGTGTGTGCTTAACAAAGAGGGTCAAAGTGCATAAGGCAAAAACTGATAGAACTGCAAGGAGAAATACATGAATCCACTATTATAGTTGGAGTCTTTAAGACCCACTTTATCAGAAATGGACATATACAATAGGCAAAAATTCAGTAAGAACATAGCTGAACTCAACAGCACTATCAATCAACTGGACATAATTGATCTCTAGCTATATATCTATGTCATATAGAATACTTCATCCAACAACTGCAGATTACACATTTTTCTCAAGCTCACATGGAACATTCACCAAGCTATACCACACTCTGAGTCACACACCATAAGAAATTTAAGATAAGAATCATACAATGTCTGCTTTCAGCCCACAATGGAATTAAAATAGATAGACAACAGAAAAATAGCTGGAAAATCCAAAATACTTTGAGATTAAACTACATATTTCTAAACACATAAATCAAAGAATAAATCTTGAGAGAAACTAATAAATGTTTTTAAATAATGAAAATGAAAATACAACTTATCAAAATTTGTGAAATGCAGTGAAAGCAGTGCTTAGAGGGAAATTTATAGCATTGAATGCATATATGAGATGAAGAAAGATCTAAAATCAATAAGCTTCTACCTTAGTAAACTTGAAAAAGAAGTACAAATTCAATCCCAAAGTAGAAAGAAGGAAAGAAATTATAAAAATTAGAACAGAAATCAATGGAATTGAAAATAGAAAATCAATAGAGACAACAATCAAAAGCTGGTTCTTTGAAAAGATCAATAAAAACTCCTAGGTAGGTTACCTAGAGAGAGGGAGAGGGAGAGAGAGAGGGGAGACATGGATTACTAATACCAGAAATAAAAAATGCATCACCACAGATTTCATGAACATTAAAATGATAATAAAGGAATACTGTGAACAGCTCTATGTCTACAAATTTGATAACCTAGATGATATAGACCAATTCCTTGGGAGACATGAGTTGCTATAACTCATACAAAAAGAAATAGTCTGAATAAGACTATAGCTTTTAAATAAATTATGTCAGTAATTAGTAACTATCCAAAACATAAAGCACCAGGCCCAGATGTGCTGGTAAATTCTATCAAACAGAAGGAAGAAATTATATCAGTTCTCCAAGTCTTACTAGGAAGATCAAGACACACACAGGTAATACTTTGTTATTCATCCTATGAAGCCAGTATTACCCTAATAGCAAATTTAGACAAAGATATTATAAGAAAACTATAGACCAATATGTTTCCATTAATATGGATGCAAAAACTCTCAACAAAACTTAACAAATGAATTCAACAATCCATAAAAAGAATTATGCAACATGACCAATGAGATTTATCTGAGGTCTGCAAGGTTGGTTAAACATTCTAAGTCAATTAGTATAATCCATCATATTAACAGATTTAGATTTAAAAAAAAAATCATATGATTGTATCAATATATGCAGAAAAAGCTTTTGACAAAATTCAACACACAGCCATGATAAAAACTCTCAGTAAACTAGGAATAGAGGGAAATTTCCTTAACTTTGATAATGAGTATCTACAAAGAATCCACTGCTAATGTCATACTTACTGGTGAAAAACTCAAAGCTTTTCCACCAAGATCAAGAATAAGTACAGGATATCCATTGCCACTATTGATTTTTAACAATGTACTAGAATTCCTAGCTAATGCAATCAGACAAAAAAAGGAAATGAGAGGGTTTACATATTGGGGAGGAAGAAATAAACATGTATTACAGGTAACATGACTATGTAAAAAAACTGAAAAAAATCAATAACAACCAAAATCTTCTCCTGGAACTAGTAAGTGATTATGGCAAAGTTGCAGGATAAAAGGTTAACATACAAAAGTCAATTGCTTTCCTATATACCAGAAATGCACAAGCGGGATTTGAAATTAAAAGCACATTATCATTTATGTTAGCACCCCAAAAAAGACAGACTATTTTACAATATGTTTAGGAAGAATAAAATTGGAGGATTGACACTACCTGCCTTCAAGACTTAATACAAACCTATGGTAACCAAAAATTATGGTATTGGTATTAGTGAAAAAATAGATAAATCAATGGAACAGAATAGAGAACCCAAATATAGACCTCCATGATTATAGACAACATTATAGATCTTTATCAAAGAAGTCAAGGTAATACAACGGAGCACAAATAGCCTTTATAACAAATCATGTTTCAAGAACTGGCCAAAAAATCTTGACCAGACCTAATGTCCTTCCCCAAAATCAACTCAAATGGATAATAGACCTAAATGTGAAACAAAATTCCTAGAAAGTTAGAATAAAATCTAGATGACCTTGGGTATGGTGAGGACTTTTTAGCTACAACACCAAAGGTATGATACATGGAAGAAATAATTGATTAGTTAGACTTAATTAAAATTAAAAACTTTCGAAAAGATAATGACAAGAGAATGAGATGATAAGCCACAGACTGGAAGAAAATATTTGCAAAAAAAACATATGACAAAGGACTATTGGTCAAATACACAAAGAACTCTTAAAACTCAACAGTAAGGAAATGAACCACCTGATTTAAAAACAGGCAAAAGACCCGAGCAGATAACACACAAAGAAAATGTCAAGTAAGCATAGGAAAAGATATTCAAAAGATATTCAACATCACGTGTTATTGGGGAATTGCAAATTAGAACAACAGTAAGAAACTACATACTGATAAGAATGATCCAAATCTGGAATGCTAACAATGCAAAATGCTGATAAGGATGTGGAGCAAAAGGAAGTTTCATTCCTTGCTGGTGACAATGCAAAATGGTATAGCCACTTTGGAAGACAGTTTGGCAGTTTCTTACAAAAGTAAACCTTTTCCTATCATACAATCCAGCAATCATGTTCCTTGATATTTATCCAAAGGAGCTGAAAAATTATATCTACGCAAAAATTTTCACAGATGTTTATAGTACTTTTATTTATGGTTGCAGAATCTTGGAAGCAACCAAGATGTCCTTCAGTAGATGAATGCATTAATAAACTGTGGTATTTCCAGACAATGGAATATTATTCAGCACAAAAAAGAAATGGGCTATCAAGCCATTAAAAGACATGGGGGAACCTTAAATGCATATTATTAAGTGAAATAAGCCAACCTGAAAAGGCTGTATACTATATGATTCCAACTTTATGAATTCTGGAAAAGGCAAAACTACAGAGACAGTAAAAAGATTGGTGATCATCAGAGTGGGCAGGGAAGAGATGAATAGGTGGAACACAGAATTTTTAGAGCAGTTAAACTATTCTATATATCCTACAATGGTGGATAAATGCCATTATATATTTGTCAAAACCCCTAGAGTATACAATACCTAGAGTGAATCGTAATATAAACTATGAATTTTGAATAACAGTGTTGTGTCCATGTAGGTTCATCAACTGTAACAAATGTGCCACTTGTGGGAGATGTTGATATTGATGGAACTTATGTACATGTGTGGACAGGAGGTATGTGGGAACTCTGTACTTTCCACTCAATTTTACTGTGAACCTAAAACTTCTCCAAGAAATACAATTTTTAAATTAAAATGTGTATGTGTGTATAAATTATTTTGAGTTGTCCAAACTCTCAAGTCATTTCACTGCTAGCTTGATGATAGAAGTGAGTAAGAAAATCCAGCTCCCCCTTTATTTTTCTGTCATTGATTCTAAATAGCTATCTAATCATTACAGAATCTGATAAACTCTTTTCTCTTTAATAGCTGTGTGATTTGATTTTTCAGATCAAAAACAATGGCTAGTGCCATAACTGCTTGCCCTAAATTAAAGAATTAGGAAATCTGATTTATATTTTCTTAATGCAGTCATCTCCTCTTTGCTAAAGTTTATCTGGGTACCCCCAGGTAAGTGATCAGGTACCCATATGCATACCTTTTGAACTTGATTTCTGCGCCTGGGTGGCTCAGTTGGTTGGCGTCTGCCTTCCACTTGGGTCGTGATCCCAGGGTTTTGGGATCAAGCCCAGCATGGTGCCTCCTGCTCAGCAGAGAGTCTGCTTCACCCTCTCCATCTGTCCCTCCCCCTAGTCGTGCTCTCACTCTCTCTGTTTTCTCTCTCTTACTCTCAAATATATAAATAAAATCTTTTTTTTTTTAAAGAATACTTATCAGGTCATATTTAATCTGTGAGACTATTTCCCAAAGAACTGATATTAAGAGTTCTTTGCCCATTTTGAAAATTAGTAAATGCAGACGTATTCAGTGACTCAGACAACTTTGACAAAAGAGCAATTTAGAGTATTTTCTAGATAGAAATCACTGAAGACTTTCATTTTTGCATTCTTAAAAACATCTTCCTCAAATCACTTTTTATTTATCATGCTACTTATGAAGGTATTTTGCATTGCAGCCCAAATGTAGAAAACTTATTCCCCCTTTTCTGTTGAGTAAAACATGGTTGATTAAGCCTGTTTTGGGATACTTTTGAGATGTAAATTTGATTTGAACAAAGACAGTTGATTTGAGTTTTCTGGTCTTTATATTTGTCTCCTTGTGTAATCATCATTGTGTTTCTGTTGCCTTTATGTAAATGTTATAAATTCTGTCCATCATAAAATTTAGTGTATGGAAAGTCCCTGATGTCATCAGCTTGCATCCTCATTTGTTTTTATATGTGATCAATCTTGTATTTATGTGCCTTGCGTTCTGCGTGCCCTTTCTTCTCTATAACAAGTAGACATTAA